TAAGAGGATCCGAAATATAGCTTCCTACGAATACCTCATTCATTGCCTCTTCAACCAAATCAACCCGAAAATATTCTTCTGCTTCCTTAAAAAATTTCATTGCTGAAAATACATTGAATGTCACCTCTTGATCTTGGACTCGCATAGTTAGCTCACCTTTCTATACATCAATGAGTTCTCTCCCCATATTCAAGAATGGTCACCCAAGAATAATAAATATTTCTCTATCTTCCTCAAAATCTAATACTATGAAATCAGCTAGAAAAATGAACTTATCCACTGTAACTAGAATATCCTCAACTATGCCCGTTGGATAAGTGACTGATTTATCTACAAGCTGCAATGTGACATTAGTAGGCTTCGCTTCTTTCAAACCCAGTTACTGATAAATTGAGAATGACATCAAGTTAATACTAGCTCCCAAGTCACACAATGCTTTCCCGAAAAATTGGTTGCCTATTGTGCATGAAATTATAAAGCTACCCGAATCTTTGAGCTTTGGAAGTAGCTTCTTTTGAAGAATAGCACTGCACTCTTCCGTAAGAGCAACTGTCTCAAAATCACCTAGTTTTCTCTTCTTTGACAAAATTTTTTAAAAAAATTTCACATAGCTAGGCATCTGCTCCAATGCATCCATGAAAGGCAAATGTATTTGGAGCTTCTTAAATACTTCCAAGAATTTATAGAACTGTTTATCCCACTTTTGTTTCTGCAAACGTTCTGAAAATGGCATGATAGACACAATAGGTCTCTGCATGCCTTCATTAGAAATTATAACTGGATCTTCTTCATCCTTTCCATGTTTCACATTCTTGCTATCCTTTTCTTCACTCTCACTATCATCTCCATGTGATTGTTTTGGAGTTCCACCAACAACCTCAGGTAACTCCTTTATGCTTCGTAATGTAATAGTCTTGTAGTGCTCCTTACTTTCTTTCTTAGGATTAATCTCTGTATCACTAAGTAGAGTGTCTTGAGGTCAGTTGTTAATGACATTAGGAAGCTGACCCATTTGATTTTTCAGGTTTCGGATTGATACTTCCATACTGTTTATCCTTGTCTCATTCTGTGCTATGTACCTGGAAAACAGCTCGTCCAAATTCGACTTCTTTTCTTGTTGTGGTGGAGCTTGATTCTGAAAGCCTAGTGGGTATGATTGTCTTGGAGCAGAGGTTTGGGCTTGATTATTATTCCAAGAAAAGATCAGATGAGTCCTCCAACCAAGGTTGTAATTGTTAGAATTATTGTCATATTGTTGCTTATTAAAGTTACCAACGTATTATGTCGACTCTGAACTAATTACACATTGATCACTTGGATGGTTCCCTGCACACAATTCACAAACAACTGCACACTTTGAATAAGTTGCACCCCTAAAACATCAATCTTCTTTATCAACGTAGCAACTTGTGCAGTCAATGCAGTTACCGCATCAACTTCATAAATTTTTGCTACCTTTGGCTGATTGATTCTTGCAGAGGGCCACTAATAATTGTTGTCAGCCATTACTCCAATAACTTGTAAGCTTTATCAAAAAAAATTTTCATCAATGCCCCACCTATAGTTGCATCGATACTAGTCCGAGTAGCACTAAACAACCCATTGTAGAACGTTTGAACTTGCAACCACTTAGAAATACCATGGTGAGGGCATTTTCGGAGTAAATCTTTGAATCGCTCCCAAGCTTCATAAAGAGTTTTAGAATGATGCTGTGCAAATAAAGTGATGTCATTCATTATCCTCGCAGTTTTAGCTAGCAGAACGAATTTAGTTAAGAATTTTTGAGCTAAATCTGTCCAAGTAATAATAGAACCTGACGACAATGAATATAACCAATTCTTTGCCTTTTCACAAAGTGCGAAAGGGAAAAGTCGAAGTTTAATCACGTCTTTGGTAACCCTATTGTACTTAAACGTGTCGCAAATCTCTAGAAAACTCAGCAAATGATCATTTAGGTCGTCGTTAGACAATCCCCCAAACTGCACTGAATTCTAAATCATTTGAATGGTACCTAGCTTGATCTTGAAACTGTTTGCTTGAATTGCAGGCCTTTGAATGCTCGATTGCATTTCCGTAACAAGCGGCATAGCATAATCCCTTAGGGATTTCTGTTCATCCTCAGCCATAGTTTCTTGATTTTTTACTTCTTAACAATGCTTTCGCAAGTTTCGAAACCTTATTTTGATTTTGTCTTTGTACGATAGTGGTTCCTGACCTGTAGATCGTGTTTGAATACAAAATTCAAGAACGCATGCGAAAACAATTTACACAGAAAATTAAATATGTTTAAAATAAGATCAAATTGATTGAAATTAATATTGAAATAATTACTAGAATAGTTCTCAAGCAACTACGTTAAAAACTTGTCCAAATTTGATATTGACAATTAACTATCGTTGTAACTATTACTATCTTAATATCTCTGTCATATGTTACTGTAATTGTCTCGTTGTTATTGTCTATTTTATTTTAAAACTATTTATGTCATTAAAGATAAATTAGTCTTTATGTTTTTAATTATTCTTTAAACTCCTAAAACTACACGTCTGGACTTGTCGACTAAAAAATCCACAATTGTGGACGGACCTCAAAAAATCCCAATAAAAATACAGCTTTCGTAAGGTAAAATGTCCTAAAAATATCATAGTAGGAACGAGTTGTTTTAGCCAAATAATCATGATTCGCTTTAGCGTTTGGCAATTGTACCTGTGTACGGCAGAAAGAAAGATACAGAGCGGGAGTGGAAGAGATTAGAATAAAGTGAAAATTGAGGGTAAGTCCCGTTAGATGAACTTATAATGACTTGAGTTTTAGGAGAAAACTTATTTAGGGATAAGTCTACTTATTTTTTAAATCTTAAAATTATTCTTAACAGTGTTAATTTTGTCTCGTTATCGAAATTCACATAGATTAAATTATTGAGGTATATATGAAAAACCTTTGATTGAGTTATATATGAAAATCGTTTATTAAATATTTTGATAATTAACGAAAGTTTACGTGATTCCTAACTTGAAGTTTGAAGTCGTTGATTTAAGGTGAAACAGTCACATGGATGGATGTTGATTCACAAACACGGATTCGTTTGTTTTGAGATATAGTGAAAAACAACCACAAGCTGTCAATAAGTGGTGTGTGTGAAGGGAAATATTGCCGATTGGCCATTTGGCTGTATATCTTCTTCCTGTGTACCAAGTGCTTAGCCATTCTAATGGCTTGTTTAACTTTGAAAAGAACTGGTAAGATGACGTGTTTGTCATCTTTCAATTCTATTACAGGCTGTTGGGATTTCTCACGATTTAAATTCACTAACAAACACATACAATCAAAGAACAAATCAAGAATATAAAGCAATAAGAAACAAGAAAGAACAAGACATAGATTTTACGTGGTTCGGCAATTTGTTTACGTCCACGAAGCTGCAGAGATTTCACTATTGAGAGAGTTAAATACAGAGAGCGGTTGTACCATCCACAATAAACCCTAATCACCAAAACAACAGGGTTTATATGTCCTACGCACTGGGCTGTATAACGGGCCCAAAAAAAATTTTTCTCGGGCCACGAGGCTTGTCCATGAGCGTNGTTTATATGTCCTACGCACTGGGCTGTATAACGGGCCCAAAAAAAATTTTCCTCGGGCCACGAGGCTTGTCCATGAGCGTTACGGCTTGGGCCTATCGGCCCAAGCCTTCACTCCATGGACTAAGCCTCAAAAAATTTTTCATTAAAAACCACACAACATTATTTCGAGTCGGATCACATATACAAACTAGACTCCATAAAAAAAAAAAACCAACACAGGCTTGAAATCAATTCGTTTGTACAGAGCTGTCAAGGCCTCGTAACATCCAGGCTCTGTTGTCTTGTAATTAGCTATGATTCTTGGAATCTTGGATATGAAGCGATCTAACACAAAAACAAAAAACACATAGAGCTGATGTCATCAAAGTTGGATGACTTCTCAAACTAATGTTAACAGTTTGGGGCTGGGAGTTATATGTTACCAAACCTCAAGGGAGTATTATCTTACTTTTCATATCTAAGGGAATATGTGTAATTTAGTGATAAATCTCAAGAGCCTCAATGTAATTTATCCAAAAAATTATTAAAGGAGAATCGAATGTCATCCCGACTAGGATTTAACTGATGTACCAAAAAAAGCTTCTGTATTGTACCCTTTATCATTTTTTTTTTTTTGTAATATCTATACTATTGTCTAGAGTACTAGAGTTTTCTCATTTTTGTGATGTATTTATTTATTGAAAAAATCGTAATTAGTATATAATTATATTATTTATTGAAATTTAATTTAATCGTTTAATATATCAAATTAAAATACCAAATTATCTCAATTAAAACTAAAAGATATTGTGTCCATTATAGTTTGGCTCTTTAATTAATTTTTTAGTTTTATCTTAATAGATAATATAATTATATAATAACTATGATTTTTTTTTTAAAAAAAATTAGATTTATTTTTGATTTTATTTCAATAAATGACATAATAAAATATAAATTTTGGATGTAAAATTCATGTTCTATTATGAATGACTTAGATCCCTTGTTTGATTTTTTAGTTTTATTTCAATAGATAATATAATTGTAAACTAATTACAAATTTTTAATAAAAAATTAAAAATTTATTTTCAATAAATGATATAATAGAACATGAATTTTAGTTATAAAATTTAAAATATTTGATATTCTATCTTTGATTGAAATGTATTTGGTTGAAGTATAATATTTTAAACTTAAGGGGACTAAATATTATATATCTATAAATTTTAAGTAGGTCTAAGTATAATTTATTAACAAATATAACAGTAAAGGTCTAAATATTACGCACGTATAAACTTCAGTAAGTTTGTGTGTAATATTTTAAATATTAAGTGTTTAAGTAATGAAGTGAAAAATTTTAAAAGTTTTTAGTGTAATTCTGTTTTTCTATTTATTTGTTTATTTATTTTTGTTGCAGAAAACACTGGCGTTCTTCATTCCCTCACAAACAGCAGAACCTCATCCGTTGTTTCAAAAGCTTTCCGCGCACGCACAAAAAGCAAAAGACTAAACGGCGGTAAACCAATGTCTTCCGCGAAAATAACACCGTCGGCTGCGACGCTCACGACAACCATCAAACACCTTACCTGCACTTTCCAATCCCCTCGAATTCGCACCCTTTACACCTACAATTCTAGCAATTTGAGGCGTAATACACTCAGAAGAAGCCTCACTGTGACAATGTCTTCCTCTTCAGTCTCGGACCCTCTTGAAGTCTGTGTCAAAACTTCCGTCACCAACCCCAACTATCACGGCGACTGTAAGCCTTTTGACGTTTTGAGACGTGGCGGATGTAACATTTACGTACTCATTTTTTTTGTCCGAATGGTATTTTCAGGCCCCTTCTCACAAAGGGTTTTGCTCACTCTGGAGGAAAAGCATCTTCCTTATGACTTGAAGTTGGTTGATTTGGCTAACAAGCCAGAATGGTGCTTAATTGCTTATCAAAGTTTATTATCTTTTTCAATTTTATTTGTTTTTTTGGTAATTAAGTACTTCTATTTCAATGGGCGAGCAATTTTTTTTTTATTTAGGTTCTTAAATATAAGTCCAGAAGGTAAAGTTCCTGTTATAAAGCTTGATGAAAAGTGGATCGCAGATTCAGATATTATCACACAATCACTGGAAGAAAAATTCCCCGACCCACCTCTGCGAGCTCCACCTGAGAAGGCTTCAATGTATGTTCAAAGTATTAGTATAATGTTGTTAGATTGTTTCTTCCATTGCTGGATTATTTGTTTTGTTGTTTTTAGTGCCAGATAACGTTATTAGGAATGGGAATCATATTAACCTTTCTGGTTGATTGGTGCTTCCTTAATTTAGGAGGCTTTCTGACTACCAATTCTTTCAAATATTAGTTTGAAAGACCTGGGAGTGATGCTGCATCTTTACTTTTCGATGTGGTCTTGTTATCATAGGGAAATAGACCTTTTCTTCTTTTGAAGTTTAAATCTTTCAATCAAGTTACCTGCAAGTTATTAGAGCGTTTATCGTGGATCCCCTAAACTTGCAGCTATCGAAGTGAGGTGTGGCCATACCACGGTGGCTCCTATAGAAATAGAGTTTTTAGGGTGACTTGATGGTGGTACTTTGTTTTCATTTGTCCTTTTTCCGGTAGGCATTCTTTTATACTTCCACTTGGGATGTGCAAATCCTTGTCCTTTTTGTGAATTGGCAAATATTAAAGCAGGCATTATCATGAGATCTGCTCAACCTATTAGTAATCTTTGCATCATGATGAATATAATAGCATGACATTGCTATGTAATATATTGTACGTCATCGATCCGTTCACTCCACCTTAATGGCTTTTCTTTTTTGTTGTCCAGACTAACTTTATTCTTCATAATCGGTGCCATATCCCAGATTTTGGCAAACTTTTGATACTTAGAAACATTTTTGAGCAGTATAGTTCCTACCTCCTACATATGTATCTACTGAGTCTAAAGTTTTACATTTATTGTCTAGAATAACATGTCTTTGAATATAGCGGCAAAATTTCTCATATATTTTTGTGTATTCTTGCAGAGGGTCAAAGATCTTCCCAGCGTTTATTGGTTTCCTTAAAAGCAAAGACCCAAGCGATGGAACAGAGCAAGCATTACTCAACGAGCTGACTGCTTTCAATGACTATATTAAAGAAAATGTAAGCCATGTATAATTAAATTTTTTCATCCCTTTTTGTATGTTGACTGCAAGAAAAGTTTGTTAGAACAGCGGAAGTCTTAATGGATGAAGTTGCTTGACTTAAATCATGATCTTGTAGTGAAGTATAGTGGGTAAGACCACAGAATATTTGGCCCTTTGCTTTTATTAGGCCAGATGGGCCTTTAATTTCTGTAATATTATGACCCTTTGTTGAATAAAACCTTTTGATGTCATGCCCTCCCTAAGAATTTAATCCCTGGTTGCAGTGGCATGTAAGAGAAATTAAAGTCATCTACTTACTCAATACCTGCCCATAAACATGATGTGTGTAACAGTTTTTGTTATTTGAATTCTTATTGTTACTTAAAGGGTCCGTTTATCAATGGGAAAGAGGTGTCTGCTCCAGACTTGTCTCTTGGACCAAAATTGTATCACTTAGAGATTGCTTTGGGACATTACAAGAATTGGTCGATTCCGGATTCACTTCCCTATGTGAAGAGCTACATGAAGGTGCGTCATATATTAACTAATTTGGACATCTATTTATTTCTTTGACCTTTGTGTTTCAAAACTAAACTGTATCATACAGTATGCAATTTGTTTCAGGTTTTTGAATTGTTGAGCTCAGTTTGAGTGTGATATCTCGATGCTTAGGGCATGCTAAAAACTTTTACTAGCGTTTTGTAGTCAATGTCTTTCTGTTTATCCCACCTGATGCATCAGGACATCTATCTGTCATGTATCATGGAGGAAAAAGAAGGCATGAAAATTATACTATTCAAAATCTGCTGTAAATAGACTAAAAATAGAAAACGGTCTCAAGACCAGTGTGATAATTGTGGATTCCAATTACACTATGTTACTTGAAAATTACAACACAAATACATGTAGACGAGTTTAGAAGATTAAGTTTGTTGAAGCTGAGAAGTTAGATTGAAAGATACCTTTGATATCAATGTGGAAGAAATTCTCATGTTCAGACTAGAAATTACTTTTGATCTGGTCCTGTGCTGAATTTATAACATGTTACATTCGTCCTGCTAGAAAGTAGTTCTAGACACAAACTTAACACGCAACTGAACTCCTACTGCTGCATCTTAATTGTTGTTAAATTTGGTTAAAAACTGTCTTTTCAAAAGGGGAACAACAGAAATTCATGTATATATTCACTAATGCAGAAAAATCCAAGTTTTGTACCATATTTGTACAACATACTGCACTTAACATCAAAGGTCTAAGCCCATGCTGTATTTTTTGTGTGCCCGTATTATCACTAGTTGTGTGATTGAGTAGTTAGGCAGACAACTTGGGAGTGTGTGCCATATATGAATTCCACTACCTATCCTAGTAATGGTGTAATGTGACAATGCAAAAAAATTTAATATATAAATTGAGAATACAAAAAACTTATGGGGTACAAGGTATCATTTACCCTCAAATAAATACTATCAGCAATGCAAATTGGGGGTAATCAATCAAATCCTACCCCTTTTGCGATTCAACTATCAGACCCTACCCCTAGGCCTCCTTCCCTTCCCTTCCCTTCCCTTCCCTTTCCCCTTCTCCTTCCCCTTCCCCTTCCTGTGCGCCCTCTGCGCCTCCTTTCCCAATGAAGTTACAGCATATACCCAGTAGACACCAACAATTTTCAGGGAAGCGATTTTCAGGCAAACGAGGGATTTTTAGGCAAGTCTCTCTCGATTTTCAGCAGTAGACACCAACGGATTTTCAGGCAAGCCTCCTTCCCCTTTCCCTCTCTGAATTTTTATAAATTTTTTGGATTGAATATAGCCGTTGAGAGGAAACAGTAGACACCAATGGCTCTTTTGCAACCTCCACTTTTTCTCTCGAGTTTGCAAATTTGCCACCCCAAGTTCATTGTTGCCATTTTGCAACCCTTGATGTCACCCCCCTTGGATTGAAATTTTTTAATTTTTGGGTGGCATTTTGGTAGTTAGAGGTTTGCCACCCCGGATGGCACTCCCCCTTGGAGTTGCTCTTTTCGAACAACCAATATCCACAAAACCAAAAAAGAAAGGAAAAAAGCAACAGTCTTACTTTAAATTAGATGTTTGGCAATTTGAAAAGAGACTCTTGAACCATGTGATACCAATTGAATACTTTGCAAGCACCCATTAGATAATCATGGAAGGCAATGGTGATCCATGTGTATCTACTTGTCTTGGTTGGGATATGTCAGACTGTTACATCTGACTCAAATAATCCGACTGACTGCAGCACTGAATAAAGTTAAAGTATTGAGTTCAATTACTTAAAAGCTCTATATAAATGCAGAAATTAGTTTTACATTTTGAAGTTGTAGATGGTTATTCTGCATGGCATTTTATAATGTTATTTCTACCTTATTTTATGATTTTCAAAGGTCTAGCTAATCAAGGATGTTGTGAAATACATACTGGGTAGAAGCCTGACCCCTTGCATGTTTATAATATTATGTAAAATCAGCTTTTATTACATAATACCAGAATGGAACTTTTTTTTCCAAAAAAGAACATACCCAGAGGTAGGAAGCCATGCACCATTTTCGGAGAGGCTAATTCCCAGATTTAAACCCTCGACTTCTGGATTTATACAATTAATAAAGCCTCTAATCTAAAGAAACCTACTTCATCCAATGGAGCCTAGGCTGCTTCTAAAGTCCCAATCCGTTTTACTATCTCCAGTACGTAATCCTACAGCTTGTTCGTGTGTTGCATCAGTCATGTCAGTCTTAATATTGGGATTCGATTCTTGAAGGCAGGACCTTTCCATAGAATTTTTGGAACTGTCAATATATAGATCCTATTTAACCAATTTGCCAGGTCAGCTGGGAGTTAATGTTCCTGGACGCTTACAATGTCAAACCTATCAGGAATCCCATGACAACTTATTGAGTTTGGATTATGGTGGAGAAGAATATATCTTTGTCTTGTCATTGTTGCTACATTCGATGTATGTTTCTTTGATATTGTTTTGTTCTTTTGTCCCAATCAACTAGAGTATTCCTTGTCATCTTGATCGCTGAACCTTGATTTTCTTTTGTTAATAGATTGAATTGTTGGTTAACTTCACATCTACCAGGAAGTGTTGGAATTTGTTTTAACAAATTTCTACTAAAATCAGGATGACAGTTTCATTTTGTGTCTTTCATTTCTAACCATGTCTGCTTTTGATACACAGACCATATTCTCCATGGATTCATTCATCAAAACACGGGCTCTGACAGAAGATGTGATTGAAGGTTGGCGACCAAAAGTCATGGTCTAATGTTGTCTACTTATCTTTTATAGCAATTCTGCAGTTTCTACATTTTTCTTTAAGAGGTATATGAAAATAGTATTGTCCTAGAAACTTTGTTTGTCTTGGTATATAATGCACCCTCTTGTTGATTTGGTGTAATGAATATGCCCAAATAAGATAGTGAGATGATGTCCTGCTTTGTATAAATTGAAAGTCCCCGGATAAAGAAAGGTACAAGGTATTTATATCTGTACTCTATGGGTCATACTCACAATTAATATTGTAAACTTGCCAAATCGTTCGAGGTGGAGTTATATTGGCACTATACATTGTGTTTTCTGTTAACTTTTCGTTAGGGATTATGTTACTGTGGTGTACAAATTTTCTTAGTGAAGAAACTAATCTGGGCATTTAGCAAGCAATCAAATGTTGCAAGTAGAATGACTATCCCCTAATACTCCTGAATTTGGTATTTCTCTTAGTTTGGTCAATACGTGCACAAATTCATCTGGCCATGAGACAAAACTGATCATTTTTTTGGCACTTCCAAGCATCCCATGGTTGTTCCTGGAAGGTAATAGCAGAAATATAGGTGGTGATGTTAGGGCTCAAGAAATGTTCCGTCGGCTTTTCAGTGTTGTTAAGCTAGCAAGGATTAGTGTTCTTAGGGCTCAGTGAAATGTTCAACGGGCTCTTCAGTGGTGGTAATGTCGCAAATATTGGCATACTTTTCTGGCTTTTACCATTATTCCTATGATGGTTCTCTTCCGGACCAATTGTGAGACCCTTCAATGAGGAAGTTTCTATGCTTTTCTTGGTGGGTTTATAGTTGACAGAGCATTTGAGCTGCTTGTGTGACGCCCTTAAAACTGAAGTCTTTTGTCAACCTGTTAATCACCCATTAATCTACAGAAATACCCGTGAATGTTGTATAATCCGACACTAGAGTACAACATCTGTTTTATTTGGATTACAAAAACACAAAGTTTAGCCATATTCTCTCTTGTACCGGACATTCCCAAACGCACAATCTGTGTACACTTTGATTACTTGACTTATTCGAGGTCTAATATACAATAATTTATTTTCATTTAATGTCCATTTATATCATTCGAACAAAAAATCCAAAACTTATGGGCCTAGTAAAATATTTCAAAATTTGAGATTTTAACAAAACCTACTGGTAGAAGATTTGTAAGATTTACAGGTAGAAAAGGCTACTGGAAAAGTTCTATCGATAGGTTTAGCCCACTGAAAAAATTTTATTGGTAAGTTTAATCTACCGGACAAGTTCTACCGGTAGAAGAGCTCGTCGTTCTACCGGTAGGTCTTACTAGTTTTTGCTCGTTTTCATCTTTTTTCAATTCCAATTCATTCTAACCTTGTACAATACCAACCCAACTCATATAACACAACGTTTTAAACAAAATACAGTTCATACGAGTTCGATACAATCATTTACATACAATTAATGTCCCCAAAACTAGATAACATTTTAGTTTTACAAAAATATGATTTAAAGCCACATTTTGACTCTTCTTCATCAATGAGGACTCGAGTGAGAGCTGTCCACCGGCGAATATCCCGCACCTAAAATGTTATTTTCATAAAGGTGAGTCACGCTCAATAGAGTATCTCCCAAAAAGACTACTCTCTAATCTAGATGCATATAAAATGTTCACCTGCAAATTCAACAAACAACAATCATCAATTTAAGAATATGCAATTCAATGATGAATCTTTTATGTCATGTCATGTTAAGAGATAAGACTCACACATGCAACTCAACCCAACCTTTATCGACTATTATCACCCATGCAATGCCATGATTATAAAAATGGGTATTCCAAGCCCTTGCCATTGATGTTGCGCAAGACCCTTTTTTTTTTCAAATAAACCATAAGTCTTTGTTGAATAGCAGGATTTTGGTGTCTTACTTTCGGTTCCGCACACCGATACACTTTTTTAGACTTTCACTGGCGGAAGTGTATAAACTAGTAACCAGGTTTTGCACCTGAGGGTCTTACACCTGAGAGAATATCTAGCCCATCTTACTATATCCTAAACCTGGGATCCCGATCCGATACTATAGATAGGGACACCCGATGTAATCGGACTATCTCCCGTGTGTACAATCAACATAATTCCTCCAGTGTGAATGTCATCCGCACTACCAAAAAATGTGCTGACTTCGTAAGTTGGTCCACTATCACCCACACTGCGTCATGCCTCTGCGATGTCCATGACAAGTGGGTCACAAAATCAATCGTAACGTGCACCCACTTTCACTTAGCCACCTCCAAAGGCTGGAGCAATCCTGTCGGTCTCTGGTGCTTAGTCATGACCTGCTGACACGTGAGATATCGACTAACAAAGTCTCCAACGTGTCTCTTCATCCCACTCCAATAGTATTGGTGACGAAGATCATGATATATCTTCGTGCCACCTAGATGCACAACAAAACAGGAGTAATGAAACTCTCTAAGGATCTCCTCTCTCAGATCCATAGACTGGGAAATCACAACCGTTTCTAAACAAAAGACTACCATCCAAGTGAATGGCTTAGCCCTCGTCATCTATACTCGACTGTACCTAATCTCTGATGGACAATATCTCTGTGTCTTACCCCCTGAGACTCTATCATCTTGCTCAGTAGGGAAGGCGTAACCACAAAAATCTCCAAAGTGCCTTGAGCCTAACTCCTATAGTGTAGCTTGAACTATCCCACAGCCACGAGCATCTGCCATTTCTAGGTAGTTACACTGGCCAAGATTCCCTGTGACTTCTAGCTGAGTGCATCAGCCACCACGTTTGCCTTACTGAGATGGTAATGCAAAGTAAAGTTATAGTCCTCTAAATACTTCATTCACCTGCGTTGCCTCATGTTGAGGTTCCACTGTGTAAAAATATATTTCAGATTTTTGTGGTCCGAAAATACCTCAAACTACTTACCGTATAAATAGGGGTGTCAAGCCTTCAAGACAAAGATAATGGCTGCCAACTCCATATCATGCGTAGGGTAGTTCTACTCGTAGTTCTTTAACTATCGAGAACCATAAGTTACCACTCTCCCGAACTGCATCAAAACACACCCAAATCTATCCTTGGAGGCATCACAACACACTATGTACCTTTATCCCCTCTCTGAAACTATCAGAATAGAAGCTGAAGTAAGTCTCCCTTTCAACTCTTGGAATGCCCTCTCACACGATTCATTTTACTCAAACTTAACCTCCTTCCAGATCAACCTCGTCATAGGTGCACCTAGTCGAGATAGGTCCTCAATGAACCTCCTGTAATACCCCGTCAATTGCAAGAAACTGTGTATCTCGAGGATTGACTTCGGCCTCTCCCAGCTCATAACTGTCTCAACCTTCTTCGGCTTAACTGACACACCCATAGCCAACATCATGTGTCCAAAAAACTTCACTTCTGTAAGCCAAAATTTATACTTGCTGAACTTAACGTATAACTGATGGTCTCTTAAGGTCGGGAGAACAACCCTCAAGTCACCCTCATGCTCCTCCTCAGACTTGGAGTAGATCAAAATGTCGTTAACAAAGACCACGATAAATTGATCTAGGTAAGGTTGGAATACCCTATGCATGAGATCCATGAATGCCGCCGGGACATTCATCAATCCAAAAGGCATGACAGTGAACTCGAAATGACTATACTGTGTGTTAAACGCCGTCTTAGAAATATCCCCCGTGTATAGATCTATCTTGGAGTAGACCCACGCCTCTCTCAGTTGATCAAACAAATCATCAATCCTCGGCAAAGGGTATCTATTCTTGATAGTAATCTGATTCAATTGTCAATAGTCTATACATAGCCGAAGGGTCTTGCCCTTCTTCTTGACAAACAACACTAGAGCGCCCCAAGGTGAGGTACTCGGTCTAATAAAGCACTTGTCCATCAATTCTTGCAATTGGACCTTAAGTTCTTGAAGCTCTACAGGTGTCATTCTATGCAGAATCATAGAATTAGGCGATGTGCCGGGGTGCAACTCAATTGTGAAGTCTACATCCCCATGTGAAGGTAATCCCAACAATTCGTCTAGAAAAACGTCCTCATACTCACAAACCATCCGAGGTAGACACAACTCCCGTCTCGCCTCGTCCTCCAAAGTAAGGCTTGCTAGTCAACCCATCAACTACTCGTGCCAGCGGGAATCATACACTACTTGGGATAAAACATCATGTTTCTCCCCCTGAAACTTGAAATAAACACCCTCCGGTGTGTAGGCAGTGACCCTCTTTCGATCACAATTAATGACAACTCGGTGTGCCGTCAACCAGTCTATCCTAAAGATGACATCAAACTCCGACATGTCCACGATAAGTAGAATCTTCAAGATCTCTAACTCACAATCCTGACATATCTGATCAATACATACCGTGGCACCTAAGGGAGAACTCACATGCAATGGCTCTTCCAAGGTCTCAACCTCTAAGCCCAAATCTCTCAAACATGATACAAAAATAAATGACTGTGATGCATCAGAGTCAAATAATACCCTTGCCCATAAGTGAGAGAGTAGAAATGTACCCTAAATAACCGACTGATCCGTTGGCTTAGTTTGAGGTGTGATAACGTAGACACGCCCTTGGATCCCTGAAGTCACATCCTGTGAGCCCTGTCCTCGACCTCGACCCATGCCCTGACCCATCTATCCTAATTGCGGAGTCCCCGTTAGTGAAGTAGTAGGGACTTGTGCAACACCCTACAATGGTTTAAACTCATGCCCCGCAAGCTTTAGGTAAATTGTAAACCTAAGTTTTGATACCAAGTTGTGATGCCCATAAAAGCGGGGTCATTTATCAATCTATTGATCACCCATCAACCTGTGAAAATACTTGTGAATGTCACATAATCCGACACCATGGTACAACATCCCCTTTATCAGGATCACAAAAACACAAAAATTGGGCAGAGTCTTTTTTGTACCAGACATNGGAGTAGACCCACGCCTCTCTCAGTTGATCAAACAAATCATCAATCCTCGGCAAAGGGTATCTATTCTTGATAGTAATCTGATTCAATTGCCAATAGTCTATACATAGCCGAAGGGTCTTGCCCTTCTTCTTGACAAACAACACTAGAGCGCCCCAAGGTGAGGTACTCGGTCTAATAAAGCACTTGTCCATCAATTCTTGCAATTGGACCTTAAGTTCTTGAAGCTCTACAGGTGTCATTCTATGCAGAATCATAGAATTAGGCGATGTGCCGGGGTGCAACTCAATTGTGAAGTCTACATCCCCATGTGAAGGTAATCCCAACAATTCGTCTAGAAAAACGTCCTCATACTCACAAACCATCCGAGGTAGACACAACTCCCGTCTCGCCTCGTCCTCCAAAGTAAGGCTTGCTAGTCAACCCATCAACTACTCGTGCCAGCGGGAATC